TTCCTCATCTTTTGTGCGACAATTTCTAAAACCATAATCATCTCTTATAGCAGGTATCATATTTACAGAATTGCTTAAAATATATTGCTTGAGATTATAAACACTCTTTACTGGTTGATTGTATCCAAATGTTTCTATCTTACTTGCTGATAACCAACTAGTGTAAGTTTTGTCACATTTTCTTTTTATCAAATCTAATACGGTTCCAGATATATAGGCATCATTGAATTCATCGATTTTGCAACCTTTTTGAACTATAAGATCCTGATACAAGTATTGTAACCGAGCTTCTTCGGCTAATTCACAGTTTCTAGCAGATAATATAGGATTATGCATGTTATTAATAATACCATCTCTACGGTAATTATCACCAACTTTACAAGCACAAAACCCAAAGTCAATCCAGTGTGGTTGTTCAATTCGAGGAAGAAAACCTTGAAGTATCATTAAGTAGAAAATACAAATATGACGTTTCGATTCTGGAAGAGAGCTGGAAGGAACTGCTTGATCATGTTCGGAAAGATAAGGTTTGACAAGTGAAATCATTTTATCCGTTAAAGTTTCACGGGATTTTTTGCCCTCATATTTACGCAGATCTTGCAACAAGTATTCATTTTTTAAAAACCATTTATAATATCCGCTGGTATGACCACCATCATCATATGCTTTTTTAATGTTGAGTAGTAGCTCGCGATTTTCCCACCATGAATGTAGTTGAGAGGCTTTACAACCTATAATTTTTATACAGTAAGTCCAACGTACAAGCCGAAAAGTTTCGTTCGATCTAAAGAAGTCATGCAATTTTCAAATCCATATTCATATAGCACCGCAGAATTCGTAGGTATAAGGTCACGATAAACATCTTTAACAAGAATGTCTGCTGATCTTTGAGGGCAAAGCAGAATATGATTTGCATAATCTTTCTTTTGACATGAGTTACTGCAATAATATTTAATTTTACATCTCGAACAACGATTATCTGTTGGTTTTTTGCACAAATTATATTCCATTTTCATAAAATTAGATTTTGGGAAGAAAAAATTTTTTTTTTTTTAGATAAGAACGCAAATCAGAAACGTAGCATGCTTACATAATGGTTTATTGCCATATGGACTAGAATAGCATTTGATTGGATAGCGTGATCATAGTGATCATATTCACATGTTACATATAACGTATTTTGGCTAAATCAGTAAAAACCAGTAGATTTAGCGTTAGGGCGTTTTCATTATATTTATATGGTGATCCGAATACAGGATGTAATCAAGCTTGATACGTACAATTAGTTATTTAAAGAACTATAATATTACGTATTCGTTATTTCCTTCTAATTCCGTAAAAGGAAATTTTCGGTTGTCATTTTTATAGTTACTTTGATACTTCGATGTTTCGATGCTATTACGATTCGTTTCTGATATGATTCAGATGCTGATACAGTTTAAGAGCATGTAAGCTGTCATCGAGACATTTCTTGTATGTACTATTTTAAGTTAATGCAAAAATGTATTTTCTTGTAATTTTTGAATGTTTTGGTCTTAATTTGTACTTTTGTTTTTTTGTTTCTTTGGCATTACGCGCTTTTTTTCTCTGGATTTTTTGCCGAGTTGATTAATTGATAATCGATGATCGTCAAAGAACACGGTGAAAGGCAAAAGAACTACAACGAAAAAATCGTGAACTCAGCCCTCTCAGCCCGCTGACCAACAAAAATATACTTGATTTGTCATTATGATCTTTTCACATGACAAATAAAAGATGTAAATTTAATGCACCAGATTTGAATCTAATGCATCAACTTTGGCCCAAATTGGTGTATCATACTCGAGACGGAACATTTAATGACGGGAAGGAAATGCTTTAAATCTAATGCATCTGCTTTGGCCCCGGAGGGGTCCAAATTGGTGCATTAAATTCAAGACGGGACTTAAGAAAAATTTTCTTTCCAAAATAAAAGTAAGGCCATTTGAAGTTGATTCTTCGGTTAACGTCAACTTTTGAGCTCGGACAGGGGGGGGGGGGGGTAACAAATTAAACAAAAAAATTAAACAGGCCAATCACAAGACGATTACTGGATGAATATGATTGGACAACAATATTACAATACTGTGATTGGCTTGTTCGTTTTTGGGGGGTTACGTTAACCGAAGAATCAACTTCAAATGGCCTAAGAATAAAACAAACAAATCTATTATCTTGATATATTATTGGCGGCGAAGCCGCCCGCATGATCATGTTCTAATTACCAGTTATAAACATAAACGTGAATGATTACCACCCATCGATCATACTTGTATTCAATAAATAGTATTTGTGCTCCGCCTCAACTTGTCGACCAATAAAAATTATTAACTAATGCCAAATCACAACATATACTTTAATCAATTCTAGTACACAACTATATTTGATTGAATATATGTCACGCTTTAAACAATGTGATTCAAAACTGCAAGTGGGCGACTTCATCGCCCGCAAATATAACATTGCTAGTTATTGTGATAATACTCTTATGTATATTATGATTAATAAAAATAAAATTGCAATTAGTACTAAGCAATTCATTAATAATTTTCCATTCGTACATTTGATTGTACCAAATAAAATAATATCGGTAAAATAGTTGAATTTGATGCCGCATGAATAAAGGCTAAGAGGTGGTAAGCATCCATACGTAATTGTTTTTTTTTGAACCTTCTGATTTTTTTTTTATTTTCACAAAAACTTCTAGTATTAAATAAAAATAATATATTGATTAATTTTTTGCTCTAAAAAAAAATTAAAAGTATAATTATCGAGATACCCATACAGTTATTAAATCACAATATTAAATATATACTGTACTATAACAAAAATATCACTATGCTAAACTATAATAAGAATAATTATTGTCTAATCTTATGAAATAAAATATAAAATATATTCAAAACTATATTATTAATTATCCAAGAATGATTATTTCTTTTCATATTAGTAATAATGGTATTCAATTACTATTTGGACAAACCATTGAGAATTATTATATTTACCTTCTATATCACAAAACATCTGTTACAAAATTTAAAGCTGAGAACTAGCTAATGAAGCAGTAAAACAGAAACTTGTGTAGTTGAACGCAATATACTATAATATGACAATGCTAAATAATATAAACTATATGGGTGACGCCAAGTGAAAACCAGACATTCTAAAAATAGATTTACATGGACAACGAAATGCAGGAGTGCGAGCATTAAATAATAATCGCATGTGAAAGTATAACTGAACATTCTAGTCGTTTGATTTGAATATTACAGTACTGTATTACATAATTATCAGTAAAGTTAAAATTTATTTATTTTTTTTTTTTTTAGATCTGCCACGAACTACTTTCGATGTCGAAGCTGATCTTTCTCTCTTTTCAACTTCTCTCGGTAATCTAGAACCTGAACCAACTTCCATAGTTTCATGTTCTGAAGATTCTGTTGCAGGTAGAGATTCTTGATCAATATTGCTTGCTTTGACCTGTTTCTGTTTAATACTTCATTTACTTTGTGCCTTCTTTGCACGAGTTCCTTTCAAATTTTTAACTCTTTTTATCACATCGTCTTGTGGTTTTGGACAAAGATCATTACGGAAAGCAATTGGGCAATATAGACGAATTTTTTTCCAGAAGTCAACTTGTTTTTCTTCCATAAGACCCTTTGGTGAAATCTCTTGAGGATTCAAAGTTATAACATCGATGTTCTTCTTTAGTAATTGAAATTTATCTCAAGGGTCATTATTTCTTATTTTAGCTTTCATTATACCAGGCTTCTCACAACTAAACTGGAAAAAATGATATTTTTGTATAACAGGAGGCTTACGGTATCTGATTCTCTAAATTTACTGATGTATTGTTTTTTGAGCTTCTGTTTATTACATCTACTAATTGATCAATACACCAAACTTCTGATCTAGTATACTCTCGCTTTGTAAGACCAAATCCTCGATCAACTAAATTTCTGGTATAACCTTTAATTTGAAACCAATATTCAATTTCTTGAAATATGTGAGTATGGCATGCCCAAAGAAAATACCAAAGGAGACAAGAATTTTTATTTTGACCACCACAATTATCTGCTCATAATCGAATTTTTTTTGCCTCACCTGCTATAGAAGTAAGAAATAGATGGACAATTGAGGTGACTTCATTTGCTCCTTTTAATACTTTGCCTTCAGTATAAATTACATGCCAGTGATTGTCAATACCTTCATCCACTAACCCGAATTGATATGCTTTCAACAACGATAAATAATACCATTGTCCAGGTTGTTGGGGATCATGGGGCAATTCTATATTTTGAGCAAAATCGAAAGAAAAAACACGGAATAAAAATCGATCACACGACTTTGCTATTTGTATATCATTTTCATAAGTATCTCTCATTTCTCGATAATCAGTTATATGTGTCATTAATTGTGTATCAAGATCTTCATTTACTTTATCTATATTTTCTTTTAATGTTCATTTGAATATAGTGCATTCATCACACTTGTCTTTAGACGGTTTTCTAATTATAATTTTATCAAGTTCAGGAGTCAAAAAGTCCAGCGACTTTTAATGATCTTTTCAGGATTCATTAAATTATAGGCATCAAGAAGGCGTTGATAAGAGTAATGAGAAGGAAGGAGAACAATATCATGCTTTTCATGGCTTACCGTTACCTGTAGTATTACAAATTATCAAAAATTTTAGTTGATTTGTTAGTTTATTTTTTTAGTTAATAATAGATAACTAATAAATTTTTTTAACTTTTGATTTGTAATACTAGTTACCTGTCCATCTGCCTTTTTTCATGTAAATTTTCGAACAGCAACTGCCTCACCATGTTGTTCACCTATCAATTTAATGAAAGACTTTGCTTTGTTAACTTTTTCTACAGGTAATTTGATTTTAGGTGAACGACCAGTATTACCATGAGGCCGAGGCAACATTGATTTACATTCATTAAGCCATTCATGAAGCTGATTTAGTGCATCTTTACCACATATCCAAAATGTATGGAAAAAAGGGTGACAAACTTTACCAAAATATGGAAGATGATATTTAATATATGTCTGTTTTTCATGTGATTCATGACAAACAGAAGCCATAAGAATCATCATCGAATAACGTTGCTGATTTTTGTCTATTTGATAACTTTCCAATACCAAAGACTGTAACAGGCACTATGAGACTTTTTTACTACATTTTTCTTCACACAAACAGCAGTTATTAAGTTTATCTATTAAGTTATTTACTGCCATTTGATCATTATCATTAACTTGATTAATTTCTTCAAATTCTTGTTCTGTCGCATCTATTTCACTTAATTCCGAATCTAATTCTTCTGGTAGAGAATCTTCGTATATGCTTCCATCTAAGTCACTATGGTCTGACTCTAAGGTAGCAAAATTAAGAGTATCAAAAAAGTGCTCTACGTTTTGAACGATAGTATTAGAAGATTCCATTATATTAAATAAGATGTAGTAAATGAAATTTTCTAATAAAAATTGTTATTATTAAAGATTTTATTACTTGAATCAATTTATTTATTTATTTTTTTTGATAGAATACAATTATACGTGAATTATTTAAGTCTTTTATAGTTTAAACTGCATAATTAAGGTCAATTAAAATTAAAACAAACATTTTCCTTTTATTTATTATTAATTATTGAATAAATTACATAACGAATAATTACAATTTAACTAAAGACAAATAATATTTCTAATATTCGCGCATATTTAATTTTTAATTTTAATGCAATATAATGCAGTAACCCTATAATTGTTGTATAAAAAAAAATTTAATAACTTCTAGAGTATCTTTAAGATCTAAACAATTAAATTTTAAAAGTTTTCCTGCAGAACTATAAGGAAATGAACTTGCCAACTATCCTGTGATGTAAAGATCTTCTCCGGATCCATATACTTGATTAATCTTACAAATAGGATGTAAGAAAGCAGTGCTGGAATCTGGTAAGCTTTGACTTACCAAGTAAAATTTATAAACGAATATGTATTAAGACTGTTAGAACAGGTTGCGAAGAAATAATATAAAATTGCTTGGCAGAAAGAACGAAATCAGCAATTTAAAGATTTAAATAAAAAATATGCCAACTGAAATTCCTTAGGTATTCATATTCGTGTAGGCAAATAATGTAAATCTTGCTCGAAAGACATTTTAGCATGAACATTGTAAAAAGTTAAGTTTAATTGGCTTAATCGAAATGACTAGAATATTCGATTGTAACGTTCTTTTAATTATGTAAAATTACAATTAAAATTCCGCATTCCGTTGTCCATGTAAATCTATTTTTAGAATGTCTGGTTTTCACTTGGCGTCACCCATATAATCTCATCGAATTCGAGATATGCACATGTTACAATTATTGTCGTATAACATTATGTGGATTAAAAATGATGTGAATTTTTTTTTAGGGTGGATCAATAAAAATCGGTCAAGCGGTCAAAAATATTTTTTTTTCGTCTGTAGAATTAAAATAAAAAATTTTGATCAAATTTGACCGGGTAAGTGCCGTATAATCTTCATCCAAAATTTAGACACTTGTAAAAAGAAGCTGCGACTAATTTTTTGTTATCATTCAATCAATATTTTCCAATAATTACCAATCCTAATTTGATACAAAATTTTTTTATTTTAATTATATAGACACGTAGAATTAAAATAAAAATATTTCATTGAATTTGGTTTAGTAGTTATCGAAAATTTTTCATTTAAATTTTAAAAATCATGATTGTAGTATATTTAAAATTTTCATGATTTTCATGATTTTCGATGGCTTGTAAACTTTAAATGAGGTCAAAGTCAACGAACCCTTTTTTTTTATTAAACAATTTTAAAAAGGATCGTCATGTATTTACATAGTATAGCCAATCAAAAAGGTGAGTGAAAATTAGTAAATGCATGTACGCAAACAATAGCGATAGCATTTTTGAAATTATCCTGATATTAATGAAGCTATTTAAACCAATGATCGTGTTATACGAGTAATCCACATGGGTAATGCTTCAGTATACCCTTTTGTATATTATTTCTTATAATACTCTGGATAATATTAAATTTCTTTAGTTTTTTTGTCAATTAGCCAACCAAATTCAACCAAATTCAATGAACTTCAGTTTTGTTATGATTCTACAGTTTTGAAATTATCCTGATATTAATGAAGTTATCTGAACCAATGATCGTGTTATGCGATTAATACACACAGATAATACTTCAGTGTACTCTTTTGTATATTATTTCTTTCTTCATATAATACTCTGGATAATATTAAATTACTTTAGCTTTGTTGTATAAAATACCGTATTGTTAATGCAAATATATTAGTTTACACGCTAATAGCAAAATTACTATGTATAAGTTATATAATGCTAATGAAAATCTAATTATAATATTGTAGTTACTATTTTATTATTTTTGAATTTATATATTGAATATATAAATTGATATAAAATAAACGCAAATTCAAAACCTTCTAGTTATACCTAGCGTAGTTCTCTCTCTCTCTCGATTTACAAATAAAACACATAACTAACCGCAATTACTTTTTATTTTATACGTTACTTTACTTTTATTGTTATTTATAATATTTACATTACGTGATTTACAACTACTACGTTTGCATTTTAATACATATACCGTTTTTGATATATTTTAATATTTGGATTATTAGATTTTATAATAAAACCAATATTATTACCACTAATATACAATTCTTTTAGCGTAGTGTTCTTGCAAAGAGCATCAGCCAATGCTTTTCCACCTTCTGATCCAAGATTATTCGAAGTAAGATACAACGTCGTTAAGGTAGTGTTCTTGCAAAGAGCATCAGCCAATGCTTTTCCTCCTTCTGATCCAAGATTATTCGATTGAAGATACAACTCTGTTAAGGTAGTGTTCTTGCAAAGAGCATCAGCCAATGCTTTTCCTCCTTCTGATCCAAGATTATTATTGTGAAGATACAATGTCATTAAGGCAGTGTTCTTGCAAAGAGCATCAGCCAATGCTTTTCCTCCTTCCGATCCAAGATTATTCGATTGAAGATCTAACGTCGTTAATGTAGTGTTCTTGCAAAGAGCATCAGCCAATGCTTTTCCTCCTTCTGATCCAAGATTATTCGATTGAAGATCCAACGTCATTAAGGTAGTGTTCTTGCAAAGAGCATTAGCCAATGCTTTTCCTCCTTCTGATCCAAGATTATTCGAAGAAAGATCCAACTCCGTTAAGGCAGTGTTCTTGCAAAGAGCATCAGCCAATGCTTTTCCTCCTTCTGCCCCAATTTTATTATTTCGAAGATTCAAATCTTTCAGTGTTGTGATCTTGCATAGTGCATATGCTAATACTTTTCCTTCTTCTGATTCGAGTCCATTCGAAGTAAGATCCAGTGACGTCAATGTGGTGTTCTTGCAAAGTGCATCTATTAATGCTTCTCCTCCTCCAAGATTATTACCTCGAATATCTAAATCTTCTAGCGTAGTATTCTTGCAAAGTGCTTCGACAAATGCGTAACCACCATTTAATCCAAGGTTATTGTCTCTAAGGTCCAAAGAAGTCAGCGTGGAGTTTTTGCAAAGTGAATCTGCTAGTGCTTTTCCTCCTCCTGACCCAAGTTCATTATATCGAAGATCTAAATCTTTCAGCATGGAGTTCTTGCAAAGTGCTTCTGCTAACGCTTTTCCTCCTTCTGACCCAAGATTATTAGTAGAAAGATTCAAGGAAGTCAATGTGGTGTTCTTGTAAAGTGCTTCTGCTAACGCTTTTGCTCCATTTGACCCAAGATTATTAGTAGAAAGATTCAAGGAAGTCAATGTGGTGTTCTTG